TAAACAAATCCTTAATCTTAACACTTCCGTTCCCATTTCCCCATTACCCCCAACCTACCGTAGTGCACTAAAAGATCCTAACTGGCATCTGCTATGTGTGATGAATATAATGCCTTGATAAAGAATGACACATGGGAATTAGTACCCCCCCTCCCCCTCACAAAACCTTATCACCGGTAAATGACTTTTTCGACATAAATTTGGCCCAACAGGTGAGTTATCCAGGTATAAGGCCCGCTGGGTGGTTCGCGGTTTCAACCAACGTTTTGGTGTTGACTATGACGAGACTTTCAGCCCCGTTGTCAAGCCTGCCACTGTTCGTGTTGTCCTCAGTCTCGCTCTATCTCGAGGATGGCCCATTCATCAGCTTGATGTCAAAAATGCGTTTCTTCATGGCCAGCTGCAGGAGACCGTCTATGCTAGCCAGCCTTCTGGGTTCCAGGATCCCACTCGCCCTCACTATGTGTGCAAACTCAAGAAGGCTCTATATGGTCTCAAGCAAGCACCACGCTCTTGGTTTCACAGATTTGCAGGTTTCATACAGACCATTGGGTTTAGAGGATGCAAGGCTGACACATCCCTATTTGTCTTCTCTCAGCCCGTGGGCACGGCCTACTTATTGCTTTATGTTGATGACATCGTTCTCACAGCATCCTCCCCAGCATTACTACAGAGTCTCATTCAGCAGCTTAAGGCTGAATTCGCCATGACCGATATGGGTGATCTGCACTTTTTCCTTGGGATCAATGTTCACCGCACAGCTTCTGGCCTTTTCCTCCACCAGACTCAGTTTACACACGACATCCTTGAGAGGGCAGGGATGATTTCTTGTCGGCCCATCTCGACCCCAGTGGATACAAAAGCGAAGCTGTCTGCGTCTGCTGGCACAGCACTCTCTGACCCCTCTCTTTACCGGTCCATCGTTGGTGCGCTACAGTATCTCACCTTCACTCGCCCTGACATCACTTATGCAGTCCAGCAGCTCTGCCTACATCTCCATGCCCCACGTGATGCCCACCTTACAGCCATGAAGCGTGTTCTTCGTGATCTCAGTGGTACTGCCACTCATGGCATTTACTTGACACGCTCTGCCACCAACTATTTACAGGCTTATTTTGACGCTGATTGGGCAGGCTGTCCTGATACGCGGCGTTCCACATCGGGCTACTGTGTTTTCCTAGGCGACAATCTTGTTTCATGGTCGTCTAAACGCCAGGCCACCACTTCTCGCTCTAGCGCCGAGGCTGAATACCGAGCTGTAACAAATGCTGTTGCAGAGACCAGCTGGATCCGAAATCTTCTCCTTGAGCTCCAGCAGCCACTCCGTCGTGCAACAATTGTCTTTTGTGATAATGTTAGTGCAGTCTACCTTTCGTCAAACCCGGTACAGCATCAGCGCACCAAGCACGTTGAAGTTGACATACACTTTGTGCTTGATAAGGTGGCGCTCGGTCAGATCAAAGTCCTGCATGTTCCGTCATCTTCTCAGTTTGCTGATATCTTCACAAAGGGACTGCCCTCACTCTTATTTCTTGACTTCAGAGAAAGCTTGGGTATCCGACCCCCAGCACTGCCGACGTAGCCGGGAGCATGTTAAATATATATATAATATATTTAATATTATTGTATTATTATTGTTACCATATTTGTATAGGTTTCCTAGATGGTCTCTCCTACCATAATTAGGATTGAGACTTTTGTATATATACATGTACTCTCCTCACAATTTATTTAATGAAAATAATCCTTCTTCATTGTATATTAATAATTTCTTATGATGAATTAAATGAAAAGAAAATTTAATACTCCATATAGTAAAGATTTAATTTTTACATGTAAAAAATGAAAAAAAATATCGTGTGTGTGTATATATTGGAACAACTATTTTCAAACAGTTAATTTTACCAAATATTTTTAACGATCAGCCAACTCATCCTGCCGGTCAAACCAATTAAACTAAACAGTCATTCATAATAGCTGACACAATAGCTGGCACGAACTGCCAACAGCCATCAGCTGACAGCCGACATCAAAACAAAGTCTTTGTGGAATTTCGCTCCCTCGGTCGTAAATGATGATTAGGTTTGTATTTTTAGTATGAATTATATTTTTAATTGTGTATCAATATTTTTGTTGTCTTAATTTTTTAATGTACCAATTTTAGTGTACTTTTAATTTAATTTTAAGAGGATGTTTGATTTAAATTATTTTTTTTTAGAAAAAGTTTGATTTAAATTATTGATATAAAAATAAATTTAAAAAAATGTTTAAAATAATACTCCTTAAATTGGAAGGAAAAAGGAAAAGAAGGCATGCTCTAGCATTACTCATCCTCTTTAACTGAGCGTTGTCAACATAAGAGAGATGATGTTGCTTTGAATTTAAGAACGGAAGTTCCGGGAGGCCGGGAACATATGATAGATTGATATCCCATTTTCATTGACTTGTAATCCAAGATCCGCAGAAGTGTTCTTCCTCTCCATCTCTCTTCAAATCCATTTCCTCAAACCCTGAAAGATTCAATTTTTTTAAATTCAATTTCAAACCCTATATCTCCGCTCGATTCTCGATTCATATTTTCCTGCAATCTTTGCCGCGTTTGACTTCTCGATTACGCCGATGAATGTGTGAGGATCGGATCCGCATATGGACAGTAATTATTCAGCTGTTCCTCCCAAGGATGGGTTCGTGGAGCTGCAGCTGAAAGGCGGAGACTTTGAATCCGATTTAGATCGAGAAAACGGGTTCCTGAAACGGGTCAATCCAGACGATCCGGAGCTAGACGATGACATCGATTTCGACAATCTGCCTCTTATTTTCGGCGATGGGAATAAATCCGGATCCGGCATTCACGGCGCTGTTTTCAATCTCACCACGACCATCGTCGGCGCCGGAATCATGGCATTGCCGGCCGCGATGAAGGTTTTGGGATTGATTCTAGGGTTCCTCCTCATCATCCTGATCGGCGTCTTGTCTGAAATCAGCGTTGAATTGCTCATCCGTTTCTCTGTTCAGTGCAATGGGACATCTTATGGGGACGTCGTCCAGGCTGCCATGGGTAAGACTGCTAGAATCGTCTCTGAGATTTGCATAATCATTAACAATGCCGGCGTCTTGGTTGTCTATCTCATCATAATTGGAGATGTCATGTCTGGTTCTCTTCACCACATTGGTGTCTTTGATCAATGGCTAGGCCATGGTTTTTGGGATCATAGGAAAGTTGTGGTCTTGATCTTTCTCGTGATCTTTCTCGCCCCGCTTTGCGCGTTGGACAAGATCGATTCCTTGAGCTTGACGTCTGCGGCGTCGGTTGCCCTCGCCGTGATATTTGTTTTCGTTGCTATCTTCGTAGCGTTTGTTAAATTCGTCGAGGGCAAAATTGAAATCCCTAAAATGACCCCGAATTTCGGGTCCGAAAATTCAATATTGGATTTGTTCGTGGTGATTCCTGTAATGACAAATGCGTACGTTTGCCACTTTAACGTCCCGCCTATTTATAACGAGCTCGAAGGGCGTTCCCCTCAAAAGATGTATCGAGTGGGGAGGGTCACAACGGTCATTTGCGTCCTCGTCTATGCTTCGACCGCAATCTCCGGGTATTTGCTCTTCGGGAAGGAGACCGAGTCCGATGTGTTGACTAACTTCGATAAAGATCTCGGAATTCGGTTTAGCTCCGCTTTGACTTACATTGTCCGCGTGGGGTACGTCTTCCACTTGATCCTCGTCTTCCCGGTGATCCATTTCTCGTTGAGGCAAGCCGTGGACGCATTGTTCTTCAAGGACCGTGTTCCCCTCACGGAGAGTAGGAAGAGATGTTTGGCTCTAACCATGGTTTTTATTAGGTCTCATATACTTAGGTTCGACCGTTGTCCCCAACATTTGGACTGCGTTCAAGTTCACGGGAGCCACCACCGCGCTTTCGTTGGGGTTCACGTTCCCATCTCTCATTGCGCTAAGGTTGAGCAAAGAAGGGAACGGGTTGAGCAATACGGAGAGGAGTTTGTGTTGGTTCATGTTGATATTGGCGATAACCGTTAGCGTTTTGGGAGTTTTTGGCAATGTCTATAGCATCAAGAAGCTTAGCTAACTGCCATTTTTGTTTGTTTCATCATCAAACAATACACAAATGTTCCATAGCTTGTGAAAGTGAAGATGTTCTTGTAGGACCGACCCGCGCCCTAGGGTGGGCCCGCCGTCTCGACGATGATTTTATTCTGGGGGGCCCTAGAGATGAGATTCATCTTCTTTTTTTAATTCATTTTGATCACCATATAGTGTTCCTGCTTTGCTTGAGCAGGTAATTTTTTACCCTATTGGTTCTTGATATATGCTTTGATTTGGCACATTTTCCCCACAGCCAAACCAGTAACATTATGCCACAATTGTGTACTGCTCCTACTTCTGTTAAATTCCACATCTAATTAGTCTGTCTTGAAAAAGTGTTCCACTTTTTTTTTTCTGTGTCCTTTATACTCCGTATTATTTATCTATCTTCTGCATATTTTTCAACAACATAATTTTACATTTTGTAGTAGAACACGTCGAATCCAATGTTAAACTGTTTTGCGGGACGGATGGAGTAAGCACGAATGCTGTAAATTTACTTTGTGTTAGAGTATTTTTTATGGTTTGATTATTTTGAGTCAAATTGGATGAAATGATCAATTATATAAAATATGCATTGTGCATGTATATACAATAAATCATATTTTTAAAAAAATATTCCAGATTGAGTATAATGAAAACATTTGTGCACTGTATCACAATGCAATGTAATTTTTAATTAATTGATTATCGAAATTTATTCAATTTGACTTATGGTATGTTTGGGAACATGGATTTGGATTTCAAAATCCGGATTTGGCTCAAATTCTATGTTTGGGAAACTTAAATATTTTGAATTTGGATTTGAGTCAAATTCTTTTCATTCATAACAAAGCTTTATTTGAATCCATGCACCTCCCCTTGTCATTTGAAATTCAGGATTTCAAATTTTGGAATTGGAATATATGACTTGAAATGAAATGCTAGTTGTCAAACACTACCTTAAAGAAATTAACTAAGGACGAACATTTTGGCACAATATAATCTTGTTTCTTTACATAACCTTTGTAGTCCTAATGTCTTTGTCTTATGATTATAGGTTTGTGCCCATAGCTGTTTTGTTCTTTTAGTGATCTAACACTCCGTTTTGGTTCGTTGAATTCGGTAGGAAAAAAGAAAAAAAAATGATATGGATATTTTTTTTAATTTGGTTAGTTAAGGAAAGAAAAAAAAGTAGAAAATAAATGAAAGGTAGGAAAGAGTGAATTAAAAATGTGAAGTAATTTTCATCTCATTTCCGATGGAAAAGCGGATAAATGGGATGAGAATTGCTCAAATTCCTAATAGAGACTTGGGCTCTGTCCCGTATACTGATCTCATTGAATCTGATCTAAATTTGTGAAGTTCTGATCCCATTGGATCTAACATGAATATTTGTTTAGATTTGATTGGATCTGATCTGATCTAATTGGATCTGATCCAATTTGATTAGATCTATACAGATCTGATTTGATTTGATCTGATTGGATCTGATTTGATCTAATTAGATCTGGTGCAAATAAATTTAAATTTGATTTAAATTAAACTTAAAATTTTTACAAAATTTAATAGTTTTAAAATATTACAATTCATATATGCATAAAAAATGTAAAATAAGAAAATTAGCTAATCAGTGATATATTTAAACTTTTTTTTTTGAAATATTAAACATCTTTTTAATATCACTACCTTTTAAATTTTTGTGAAAACTAAAGAATGATATCAAAATAACCAAATATTAGAAACTATGGAGGCTATTCTACAAAAATATCTTATTCTATATGCATATTACATAATAATATATTTCATTTTACAAATCGAAGATCATACAAAATTGTAAACACTGATTATCCTTTCACCTCAATCAATCTTGTCACAAACGCACCCTTGTGTATATTATATCATTTTAAAGTTTAAAAATAAGTCTTTTTAAGTATAAAATATTTATGGTTTGAAAACTAAGTTTTGTATAATTATTTTATAAATAAGTATTTTAAAACAACTCTTTTAAAAGTATGAAAATACAACTTTTTAAGCTTTAACATTGCTTCCATGCATCATTCCTACAAAGTAAGTAATTATTAAAAATAATGGTTTGTAGTTGAAACCTAATAATAATAATAATAATAATAATAATAATAATAATAATAATAATAATAATAATAATAATATAACAATAAAAATAATAATTAAAATTATAATATTAATTAAGATTAAGGTGTATGTAGCTTTAAATAAAGCAATGTGAGTTAATTAGATAATAGTAATTATTACTTAATCCTTGAAAAGTATAAATATTGTTTTTTATATTTTTTTCCTCATTTGATATTATTGGATTTGACCTGTTTTGATTGGATATGGCCTAATCTGATTGGATCTAGTCTGATATGATTGGATCTGATCTGATGTGATTGAATCTAGTCTAATCTGTTCGAATTTGGTATGGTCTGATTGAATTTGATCTGATCTGATTAAGTATGATCTCGCCTGATCTGATTTTAATAAGAATACATAATAAGTATAAAAAATAAGTCATATGAAAGAGCTGTTCGTTTCAATTTTTTTAAACTTGGTACTTATTCTTATTAAAATTAAGTTATAAATAGTTTTTAAATATAACTACATTCAGGTAATATCTAGATCAGATCTAAATAGGTCAGGCCAGATTTTTAAAAAAAATCAGATCATATTAGATCACGCAAAAGGAATGCAACTTTTTTCTTTTCACATACTCCTTTCATCTATCAATTTTTTTCTGACTTTCTTTTCTGGGTTATTCAAAAATTTCTGTAACACCCTACCCTGGATGACCCGAGTCATCCAGACCAGAGTGCTAGTAAAACCCGGTTGCTTAGTAAAACATTTTTTTATTAAAATAAATTCTCATTACGATACTAAAGAGTTTAAAGATTTTTTTCGAGTAAGTAAAAAGAGTAATAACATTCATAAGTAAGTACAACTTGGGGTTCAAGCCCAAACCAAAATATGTTCAATAATTTATTCAATTATTTATTTTAAACAGAATTTCCTTTTTTAGCACGGCCTCCACGTCCAAGCTTTCCTCCTCAGCAGCCGTTCCCCTACTAGTACCTGCGTGCAGTTAAACACTACACGCTCAGCATAAGCTGAGTGGCAAATAACCAGTAGACATATATAACATGCAAATATATTTTAGAGCATTTTAAGTTCTTTAATATAATTCCAATGTTTTTCACATATTTAAAATCCTGGAGAAAATAATCTCACTTTAGTAATTACTTGGGGATATTTAGAAAATATTAGACTTTTTCCTTCTAGGTTAACCTTGCATTAGAGATTAAGACGTGACTAGGCTGGAACACCGCACTAGTCGATACGTAGTTTTACTTCGGATACCTCACCGTGACCTCGGGTCCAATAATCAGAAGTGAACCCTAGACCCACGGGGTCATCGTCGGGTTCTCGTGCGCACGTTGTGGTATGATTATCTATAGGCTCATCCACATGGACACGGTCCGGCCTTGAAACATGTGGTTTGACCCACTTGATGAAACGTGACAATACCTGGTCAGGGTACGTCGTTAAAAGAACTTTAACGTTTTTACTTTGTCCACTAACTATTTGGTTAACGCTAATATGGTCATTTAGATAAATTACTTCGGATATCCTCAAATATAACTTGATCCTCTCAAAATTATATTTGGAATGATGTGCCCTTAGTATGTCCAAAACATGCAGTTTAGTAACGAGATAATAAAACATTACTTTAGTACTATCCGTGTATAAATATGTACATTGAAACATATTACTCAAATATACCAAAAACTCTTTTTATGTATCTTAAGAGAGAAAAAAAATTATAAACATTGCGTGTTTAATTATTTACAAGTTTGGCTCAAAATAAAATACAAACATATTATTATTTATTTAATTCCTTAGGTAGTCACGGCCAACAAACTTTGTTTGTCAAATTATATTTTAAAAATTTATATTTCACTACATTCACCAAACCACATGGATAAAAATTATACTATTTAATTTAATTATCCAATTATACTCATCGGCAACTATGATTTATGATTAATATGTTTATTATCATTATTATATTTAATAATAAAACAAGTCATTTTTCATTATCCAAACTAAAATGGAAGCAGAAGTTCAACTTTAAAAATAAAATAATAACATTTATCATTTCTCTCCCTTTTTTATGTATCTATGTCTTTTTTCTTCTTTTATATAATGTACGTATGTAATACGAAGTTTTTTTAACAATTGGTAGATATATATTATTTATAAAAACAAAATGCACAAAAAATATATTAACATGAAATATATGGCTAAAGATTAGGGTGAACGGCACACCTTTAATGTTAATTCAAACAAACGGTGTCGACGAGATTATTCCGTGACTGCATCTCCCATGCCACTCTATCTCTTCCATGGCAATGCCACTAACTAATCTTACATGCTCACACACCTCTAAACCAAACTTTATTATGTATTATTTCTTTCAAGTGATCATGGCATGGATGGATGGGTCACTCTTCCTATGAGTCTCTATTTATAGAAAAGAAAAGAAGATTCTAGAAAGTGGAGGGAGGAGGAAAATGGATGGTTTCTATTTTAAAAAAAATAAAAATTAACTAAATGCTTATTATTAGCCCTTAATGATGTTAAATGAATGGGAAAGAGGTTACAAGTTTAGGCGTGAGAATCAAGGGAGAAAATAAAAGGTTTTCTTGCTCCGTGGGTTTAGACTATGTGTCTGATTTTCACAGTTTCAGTTTTAAAATATTTTTAGAAAAATGTAAAACTTATGCCGTTGAATTTCATATTTTTCACACATCATTTTAACTTAATTTGTTTATCAAGAAAACAAGCTCACTTGAACAAAATAATATCAATCAGATAGCTAAAAGCCAAAACCTACTTCTTTCATTCACCACCTCTAATAATTAATTATTAAAGTTTAAATTCCAATTTATTATTTTTTTTTTATTTTTTTTAAATAAAGAACAATGACATTTTTTTGTAACTTTATTTTCATGCTTAATATTTTAGTTGTTTTTTTTAAATTTGTTTTTAGATAATAATTTCATTATTTATACTCAAAAGTTAAAAATTTCTAGACCGACTTTTAGGGCGTTACAATTTCTTTCTCGTTTCTGACAGAAAAATTTCAAATGAGGGTGCTATTATATCCATATTTTTTTCTCTAGACTATTCACTTTATTCTATCACATCAAGATCAACACATGAATAAAGTTCTTTATATTTTTTCA